CTGAAGCCCGACCCGATCCGACTCTTCGGGTCGGGTCGGGCCTGAAATGTTAATCATTACGTTCGGGCCGGTTCGGGTCGGGCCTGAAATGCCAATCATTACGTTCGGGTCGGGCCTTAAATGTCAATCGTTGGGATCGGATCGGGCTTCTCTATCGCTTACTTTTTTTGAAATAACTATGTTTATAAAAAAATATATACTTAAACTATGTGTGGATACTAAACAAAGGAATACTTGTTATAAAAGAAATAATTTGAATAAAACAGAGAAGAAGCTGTAATGGACCTTTCCCCGACCTTTGACCCCCAAAAATATTTTTCTTATACTTTCCCATACGCAGCTCGGGTTGGGCCTGCAAATCTAGTTAATTAGGCGGGCTCGGGTCGGGTCTGCAAATCCAGTTAATTGGTCGGTTCGGGTTTAATATCCACGGCCCCTGTCAGGTCGGGCCTGCGAATCCAGTTGATTAGTCGGGCTCGGGTCGAGTCGGGTTTAATACCCACAGGCCCAGGTCGGGTTGGGCTGGAAATTTTGGGCCCGATCTTACCTCTACATGTCGGATGTGGGATTAGTTATTCATTTTCAGATACATGAACTTGATGGTTAATGTCACATGAACCACCCTACGGCCGTGAGGAGTTCAGCAATCCTCTCGCACATAATTATCCCTCACAGAGGATTCGAACCTGCGCTCTTGCGCAAGGTAATCAAAGGTGCGGTGGCGGGCATATTCCCAATATTAAGCCTGATGCGATACATTGTCCTGTTCTATTTTAATTTAATTAAAAAGTAAGACTTTAGTTTGAGAGAAATTAGCTATACATTTTAAATTGTATTCTAAACACCTATGACAAATTCTACATGGCTATTTATAACTGTTTTATTCCTGTCATATTTAGCTTTGAATTACAGAGTCGATAGTTAGAAATATCTGTAAAATGCCTCTCGAAATTAAAGTGAAGACTAATGGACATGCAAATAGGATTTTACAAGACTTGAACAGGTGAGTGTGAGACAGGGATATCTAAAATGATGGGGTCAAAGCCTAACTCAGGCAAACTACGTGACGCGGTCCGAAACCGGCCTGTTTGGTAATTCAATCTGGCCCGCCTGATGCTGCCACAACCAAACAAACAAATTTCGTTGTTTCAGTTAAAAAAAAGCTCAAGGGTTCGGGGTTGTATTGTCATTCTTTGGGAGGAATTCTGCCATGTATTTCATTCCTGTAGTTTTACTAATATTCTTCAGTTCTTTATTATTACTGAAATATGTATTATGTATGTAAATCGGGAGTGCGACATGGTCATGACACTAGCTTAATCGCCCTGAAGCTCTCATCGCTATCTATTTCTCCGATGTCTCCGGTATTAGTAAGGATTCATTAAAGATTGAATTAGTAAAGTACGGTATTATTGAATGTGTAGTGAGTGAAGAATAAGAGTTCCAAAATAGGGAAGGGGGGGGGGGGGGATTTCATAAAAAAGATTTGGAACCACTGGGTTAAAGCATTGGTCATTACTGTATCGGCATTGCAAGTATCAAATTTTAATTTCGAGAATGATTTAAAACTGTTTATATGAAAATTTTCTTGATTTGACATCTGATGGTGAGACAAACACTTCATTTATATAATACCTGATTTTGCTTCTAAGACCTTACCATCAGTTCTTATATTTGTCACGTTTAATATTAAAACAAACAAATGCGTAGATGCATTACTGTTGAAGAAATGATCAAATGCCGGTCCTTTTACACTAAAATAATATGGTCATCGCGACTGGCACCATGTGCTTTTGCATGTGCTACTCCACAACAAGCCTCATGAGCCATGAGCCTATTAAACAAGAACAAGGGTCCATTCTTGACAAACTCAGATATAAACTATTCTTTTCTACTTACCATATATCCTCGCATATAAGCTGATCCCCTAAAAACACCCTCAAAGCGGGGAATTTATAAAAATTCGCATATAAGCCAACACTACAAATCGTAGAAGGCCATACGCACCTATCACAACCAGGGATGTTCAATTTGAATTTAATATTCAATATGGCTATTTGCTACTTTCAGAATATCGTTTTCAGTGAAAATTGATATCGCGCACACATCCTAGCGCCCTCCGTCCACTGATTGATTGAAAACATTTTCCGATTATGACTTATTTTAATAAGTAAACAAATAGCTCGTGGAGGTTTCTCATTCATTCAGAGCCATGGGCACTTTGAGAACCTATTTTCTAGTGCACATATTTATCGGGTGGTTTCACGTCTTCTTTGCAAACATGACTCTAGCTCAGGGGTGGGTAAGGCTTTTAAACCAGGGGCCAAAAATTTTACCTACCGAGACTGGCGGGCCAAGAAAGTGTGACTTACATTTTACGAACAATATTTGCAGTGTTACAAACGCAAAATTGGGAAACAATAAGCCTCGTGCCAAAACTAAATTTATCCGCAATTTCAACCATTTCCTTGAGCTATTATTTAGCTAAAACATCAAAATTTGGTTTCTGTTTGATTGCGGCAGCATCAGGCTGGCCAGATGGAATTACCCAACAGGCCGTAGTTTTCCTATGCCAGCTCTAGCTAATCAGCCACGGATAAAGGAGAAGTTATTATATTGTTACAAGGTTCATTCTGGTTTGAGATATGACTTATTTATCTATAAGACATCCTGGGTTAAGTGGGTGTGAGTTGTCACCAGTGTTCACTTCAAGAAAATTAGGAGTGCGTGCGTTTTTCACAAGCCAGAAATTCAAGAAGTCAAAACTTTTTTAACTGTTTTACTAACATTATATTATAAAAATCTTGCATGCTGCAAAGTTTCTGATTTTACTGTTCGGAGGACACGCAACTCCGGTTTCTGGTGTTCACTCTAAAAAAATTATGAGTAGCAAAAAAAAAACTGAAATTCTGTTTTCTGGTTTAATTTAACAAAAAGACTTTGGTTACTTATGAGTGCGTGCTTTCCTCACTAGCCAAAAAGAAAGTGCAAACATCTGTTTTTTTTGGTGTTCACTAAAAAAATTCTGTTTTCTGCTTTACATTGTAAAGAAAATATTGGTTTCTGAAGTTCACTCTAAGAAAATAAGGAGTACATGCTTTCCTCACAAGATAAAAAATAAACTGCAAATTTTTGGTTCAATCCAGAAGTTAAATAAATACACAGTGCAAGAAAATTAAGAGTTTGTATGTGCATTGCAAGCCAAGAAATAAATTGAAATTTGGTCAAATTCAAGAAAACTCTTGTTTCTGGTGTTCACTCTGAGAAAATTATGAGTCTGTGTTTCATGTGTTTGCTCTGAGAAAATTTAAAGCACAAGAATAAACTAATATTCTGGTTGAACTTGAACATTGCATAAGTGCCTTGGTGGTTTCCAAGTTAGGTATCTTTTTTGGCACTCCAGAAGTATGTGTACCAATATGGAGGTAACTAATTTTGTTCACCTACTTTACATCAAGTTGTGTAGAGGGACTGAAGCCTATGGGCAGAGGTATATTCACTTTGCTAACACAGTCAATCCCCGAACTCGTAATAGAACTAAAATAAGGAAAATCTGAATAAAATTATGGCCTAACCCTAACCTGGTACACACACTTTTTGTTATAACTTATTTTAAACAGCATACGTGTTCTATTATTTATACTTCTCTCATACCTTTGCTCTATGATATCGGGGCTATCATTAATTCCTGAAAATGAAGGTCTAGAAATGGTATTACTTTATTAGCAGATGTCATAAGATTTGTTTATCCTGGCTGATGGTTCCCGTCACCCAATTTCCTAACAGGACTGAGCGCAAACAAAATCTGTCACTATTATCACCGGATGTCATATCCAGCCTGAATGCATAAGATCTATTTAACCTGAATTAGCCACATTTGTGTAGCCTTTTTTTCTACATGTCACAAAACCATTGTAAAAATATGACTGCTAACTGAATGATATATTTTACTCAAATTGTATATTTTTCCATTTTTTTTTGGCACAGACATTTCGGTGTGAGTAGTTTTGTTCTAGAAATTTAAACAAAAAGTATATCTTTGCTTGCCATTTCGACCAATCAAAATTCCCTAAAGTTTTATGCTATATGCTTATCAAATTGGTTGCCCTAGAGCCATGACAATCGATCAGAAATGACGTACGTCCCCAACAAGATCTTACGACATAAATATATACAGTTTGTTCCAATCAAAGCTCTGCACAGGCAGACACTGTTATTTAAGAAGACACTGTTATTTAAGTTAATTTATTTTGAAAAGCTCGGATTATATACTTGCGCATCGCTCTCTTGTCGAATGGTAAAGAGGCAGCTGAGATGCGCGGTTCGACTGACGTCATCTCACGGTACTCCCGTAGTATGTAAACCAAGATGGTGGACAACGGAACGTAGTATGTGTACCAGGTTAGGGTTAGGCCATAATTTCAGTTACAAATACTACGGAAGTCACTTGGTTAGTCCCCGAGTTCGTAATAGAACTGGAATAAAATTATGGCCTAACCCTAACTTGGTACACATACTGCGTCTGCCATCTTGGTTCACATATTACTGGATCGCCCATCTCACTCGTCGGCACGCTTGGGTGTTCGGGCGCCGCCACAGTTTTGAATTTTTTAGGTCAACCACTGAGGTATCACTGTTGTTGTATAGTCAGAATTGGCGACGGTGATATCGCTTATCTCTATGATCATGTATGTATACATACTTATTCCCTACTAATCAGAGCTGGGTCCATGTAGCCACCGTGTTTTTTTGTGGATGGAGGTGGGAAATGGAGCTGAAGCCTGAGCTACCAGAAAATTAGTGGCTCCAACTTTTAACCATCTAATTCTTTTTCTAGACTTATAAAACTTCATACAAATATAAACTGTAGGCAGCCTATAATTTTTTCAATTTTGATTTTCTTGTATGAAATTGAAGTTTCAATTTTACAATCTAAAAGTCCCTATAACACAGATTTAACTCTCGTATAACTGTATCTGGATTAATGTGTCATGTAGTGCTCATACCAAAAAAACAGCAGACCAGCAGATGAGTAAACCAGCAGACCTTGAGTCACATTTGATATATTGTAGCTTCGGAATTAGAGCTAGAACCATAGTGATTCCAAATCAGCTCCTCAGCCCTGTATTAAAACTTGAAAATTCACACAAGGATTTCCTGTGCGAAATAGAAAACACATTTAGTGCAATGCTGATTTAAAATTTAATTTTGCAGAAGCAGAAAGGAAACTCGAGATCATTGTGATTTCATGATCATAGCTGGCTCTGAAGAAATCCCAGTTCATAAGAATATTATATCTGTAGGATCTGATTATTTCAAAGCAATGCTGGCTCATAATGTAAGTTGTGTTTATACATTGTTGATGTTTATGTGATATCTCAATGGTTAACTGTTTGAGTTAACTCTTTTACAGTTGGTACTGTTACCCTTGTTAATGTGGTTTTAATCCTTGGTATTATCACACTTCAGAATGCTGAGACAGCGTCTGGTAAAGTGGAAATGAAAGAAGTTGATCCATTATCCCTGCAACAATGCATAGAATATATTTACACTGGTGAATTGTCTACTACTGATGAAAATGCTGAATCTTTGATGTACGTGGCAGAATTACTGCAGTTGAAAGGTGATGATTTGAAATAGATCTTTCTTTGAGATCGTACCGAGATTCACTCAATCCTCTGTGATTCAAATTAACCGTACAATTACCCCCACAAATAGAGCTTTTTGGTTTGCATGGGTCTGAATTTCTTTGGTTTTGGTTTGGTTATGTCATTAGTTATCAATTGTCATTCCATGTCAATCGGGGTAAAAACCAAAAAAAATCAACAAATAGAAGCCATAAACTATTTATTAAAAACCTATTTAACACTTGAACTTTGTTTGCGTATAATTGTACCCGAAAGTTTCTGTAATCTAAAATTATTTTCTCTCTAGAATATGTTTCAAATGACCTAGGTTCTGTTTTTGGGCCACTTTGTATAACTCCTCTACATTGCATTTAAAAGTTACAAAAAGAACAATATTCAATAAGAGTGAGGAGTTGTGGTGACAAGTCAATATGTGTTATTGCTCATAGATAAGTATAAAAAGATATAATACGCCATGTTTATTTTATTATAACAGATGTCTGCAGAGACATTGTTGATTCACTTGAAGAAAATCTCGAATCATCTGCGGAATCATTCTTTGTGACAAAAAGAATCGCAAACCTGTACAATTACAAAGAATTGATGGGAAAATGCGAAAAGTTCATGCTGGATAATTTTGAAGAAATTGCGGTTCTTAATGAGTTCAATGAAATAGAGGAAAAGGAATTTGTTAGATTGATCAAATCACAAGAAAACAAGGTATTTTAGTGTTTTGTTAAGTTTGTTTCACATTTCACTCTGAAGTGGACTCTATTTAGTAGCCACTTGTACAACGGTTCAACGCTTTAGTGCTTGTTAACGTACCTGGATCGCTACTCATTCGTAAGAAATCACCTGGCTTGGAAGGGCGCACTGTACTTTCTACCTTATTTCTCACTCTGGTTTGTGATGATAAGATTGGACTGACCTTGAAATCCATGGTTCAGCCCTGCTAACCACTTGCTTTTTTCCGAACCAATGTTTAAATAAAGAATTAAAGGTAGATCAGGGCTACTCAACTATTTTTACCGAAGATCCGCATACAAAACTTCAAAAATTGTTTGGGTCTGGTGTTTCTAAAAATTATATTTCGGCATCCGGAACGCGCACTTCTCGACCGGGTAATGATTATCAGCTAATCAAGATTGTTTATTATGGTGTTATAGTTCTTTTCATATATATTCAAAACAATAAAAGTCATTTTATAAAATGAAACTTTAAAAGTGGGACTAATGATCTAAAATAAAGAATTAGGTGCGGTCTGAATCAAATACTCGAAAGGTCCGGATTCGGACCGCGGTCCGCCAGTTGAATAGCCCTGTCCTAGATTACAGCATGAATTTTAATATTTCACATACTCTGTTTTCCTTCTAGGTATCAGAGAGTGTCAAGCTAGAAGCGTTGATATCTTGGATAAAACATGAGCAAACAAATCGAAAAAAACTTCTGAAGAAATTGAACAACTACATTGATTTGCATAAAGTACCTGTGACTTATAGAAGATTCCTTGTTGAAAACGAGGTCGGTTATTTTTGAATTGATGAAATTTTTAAACCATTCATTTTTGCAACAGAGAAATGACTTAAAGTATATTAAGATTTATCTGACTGATAATGACCAGGGCTGTTGAAGCATAATTTTAATAAGTCCGCCAGAGTCGTATGTGTAAACTACTGGAAGCCAACTCGACATTTTAATTTCTTCGGAGTCGGAATTCCAGTATTTAAAAAAGGCTCGAAGCTTGAGTGTTGAAAATTTCTTCAACTTGAAGTTATAGTAAACTTTGCCCAGACTTTACAGTCCTGATAATCTCGTGAAATAAATTTTCTTTTTTCTCGTTTAATAGTCAATGGTTTCACATAACATACTGTATCTTGTTTGTTTCAGCCAATGGTAAAGTCATGCCCTGAATGCTCTCATACTCTATTCATATCTGTGATGGACAGCTTAGACATCGGCGCCTCAAATATTCACTCTGTTAAGAATATAAAACATGAAGGAAAAGAAGCAAGTAAGTTGAATTAGGATCTAGACAATATGGAATACCATTTGTCAGCTAAAACTCAAAACTAACCTAACTGTGAATTGGTTCTAATTCGAATGATTCTATAGCTTGTTTTTCTCAGTCCTAATTCGGGCGATTTTATAGTTTGTTATTTTTGCTTTTCCTTTCTGATACAAACTTTTTTTCTTACAGTTGCAGTGTTCGATGAAAAATCAATGAGCCTTCAATGCTTTGACCCTCGGAATAATTCTTGGACAAAAATGCAGGTTGGTATTTGACAACCTTCAACTCTGGTATCTCAGTCTAATCGTACTGTACACAAAAAATATCATTTATTAGTTTATATTATTATTTCAGATGATAGAAATGAATGCTCAAAGCTTGTGTTTTTATGGGATTGGATTGCGAGATATGGTTGTGGTAGTTCCACATATTGTATTAATGTGTTACTTATTTTATTTCGACTGTTCTTGGCCATCTTATCACCTTTTCATTTTCCATTCCTCGGGATAAATTTAAAGTCAGATACCAGACTTCTACGTATGTAATATAGGCAGGCGCGCAGCCAGGATTTTCAAAAGGGGGGGGGTTTCAAAATCGAAAATTTCCAGTGCCGTCTGTAACAGTCACCACGAACACGCGTTCGTTAATAGAGCCGCCTTTTTAGCGTATTATGAATTTCCTGTTGCCTAAAATATTAAATTAATGCCAACTACGAGATTATAAAATGTCCTCATATATTAATTTAATTGTGTCCAACGTAACTCGCGGTTGCGACTTTTTACGTGAAAATAGAAACATTACTGCAGTAAAATATCACGGCGATCTGTGGACATAAAAATATGAGACAAGCTGCCTGATGTATTTAATTTTGATACGTATTTTTGCAATCTTGCGACCTCGTTATCGCCTTCAGTAAAATCTCGATATCTGATATAAAATCACGTTTAGTACAATTTTACTTCATAACAATGAAAATGGATATAAAGCATACTAGTAAATCAAAAATACAAATTCACCGCCGCGATTGCGCCACTTGTTAAAAAAGCCGACTTTTTCAACGAAAAATGATTTTTCTGTTGTGCAAAGTAATCAACCCATGACCGATAAGGGCATATTTGAAATGTCCTGCTTTATTAATTTAATTGTCTTCAATTTAACCTGCGGTTGCGTCGACAAAACAAGAGCCGCTCTAACTAAAACAACACCGAATTTCGCGGACATAAAAATGTGTGGTAAACTGTCCGATTGTATATTGTTATTTCGCGAATTCGACAAATTTGAGATGTACTCAAAAATTAATTTTGTCGTCTTAACAGCAACCCCCTTTTTAACAACCGCCGCGATTACGGCACTCGGTAAATGCGACTTTTAGCTCATATTGATTTATCGGTTGCAAAAAATATATATTTTTTATGAAGACATTTGAAACGTTAATGTAGATATCTGAATATAAAAAACATACTAAACAAGAACAAGTAAATAGTGTATAAAACCCATGGAAACCATGGACATCCAAACAATACCACATAAACACAACATACCGAACATAATAAAATATTTTATGCTGATACTGCTGGTGATGCTTTACGCGTCACAAATGGTTTAATGTAACTTGATAAAAACATGTTTCTTATGATGATGCGGCATCAAAAGTATAATTTATAACTGCAAAATGCCGTGCCATAGTAATTATATTATACTTCAATGCGCGATTGCGTGTAACTCGATCGTGTAATCCTAATTTATAGGCGCCGCCATGTTAGACGACGGTACTATTCTTAAATTGGCCGGCGCAAACATGTATGACAAATTGCTCGATCATGTCTGATTTTCATTCGGTCGTGAATGTCTCGATTATAGGGTGTTTCGTGACATTTATCCGATTCTATCGCTTTGCTACGTAACCTTACTAATGTAATAATCCCATGATTTTACTAGTAAATTCTTTAGTAAATTCTTTAACTATCATCAAGTATTTTTTTCCAAATAGGATGTTTTCGTTACAATTTAAATGCTTTAAATCAGGGGTCACCAAACTTTTTTGACCGCGGGCCGGGTATGACTCATATTGTGTTGAAACGGGCCGGATGAATATTTTTGTCACTGCAATACAATAAATTCACAAATGTTGGGAATATCGCAGAATATAGATCGAGAACATCCTAGGAGTTTAGCTGTTATCAAAACGTTGCTGTCATGAATTAGAAATGTTACAAAATCCGCGACAAAAAATGTACGCATCACCTCTGCTAAGTACCGTTACGCCGTGTTGAAATATCGCTCATAAAAACGACTGCCTGCTGTAGCTTGGAATTCTATGAAATTTTGACATAATTTAGATAAAATAAACAACTATTATCTGGTATTTGAATTTCATGCGCATAAATTTCCCAACATTCGACGCTTTTAAAAATTACGCTCCAGGTATACGTAGTGCAAATTATTGATATTGTCTATGGACACCAATAAAATTTATATGGACGTGTGTATTTCTTGTCTAACTTGATACGTACCAATTTTTATGAAGTTCGTACAATCAGAACATCGTTAATTATTACCCACAATGAACCACTGTCAAACTATCATGCACAACTCCAGCGTTTATTTGCGACGATCTTTCGGCGGTGTCAATGACCGTTGCCAGAATAAAATCCTGAAATTATCTCAATATACCATAGATGTGACGCACATCGAAAGATTAGTGATTGATATGTGTTATTTTTCCATATTTAGTACAGTTCTTATCAAAAAAGTAATACAATCATTATGGAAAAAATTGGCTGTCGGGCGGTACTAAAATTCCGATATCTCCGTTAGTTTTTATTTAAATCGGATGAACTTCAATTTTTTTGTAACATACCTACATGAATATCCGCATTAAAGCAGTACAAAAGTTAGTGTGGCTTTTGAAATTGGAGCAGTACGCGAGGGATTACAGTACTGTTAGCACAAGATGCACATTCGACGTTTATTTTAGCTCGAGCAACAGTTTCGTCGAAAGCAAGAGCCACGAGTGTACAAGTGTATCGCAGAAAACGTTACGTACTGGTAGCAGTCAAAGTAGCAAAAACGAAGTTTTGTTTACAACCACGACTGAAAATCTGTTAGGGTGACAAAAGTGTTATTACGTCACTTTTCTGCATCTTGCCGATTGGCCAATGTTACGAAATAAACAAGGACGACGATGCTCGTGAAAATCTTCCTTGGAAAAAAATTTAGCCATTTTTGCGTGTTATTGCGGACGGATAAAATGACGCCGCGGGCCGGATAAAATGACGTCGCGGGCCGGATCCGGCCCGCGGGCCGTAGTTTGGTGACCCCTGCTTTAAATCGATAATTTCAAATATGATAATGGTCTGGAAAAAGATGTGCGGTCCCGTCGGAAATTGAAAAAAACTTGAAAAATAGAAACCATTGCGTGTGTAATAAATTGTGTCTTTAATTTTAGTGGACAAAGTATCGTATGTGAACGACAGAATGAGTACGGAGTACGGACGTACACAAAAATTTTCTGTCAATGTCGAATTTTAAATGTAAATAACGTGTAACTAATAAAATAAAGTAAAATTCAATGTGTTCTATTAGCGCGTTCCAAGTTTAAACGAGGGCACTGAATTGAACGTAGGAGGGCACTGAATGCAAACGACGCACGCGGGCGTATTGATAAATTTTCCCCGTGCATTCTTAATTACCGCGCAAGGGCGTAACTAACTTTTGGTAACGCGTTTCTCTCACCGAAGGCACGCTACTGCGAGAAAAACTGATTATCGTGGATTCATCGCACACAAAGGATATACTTTGTTTTACAAAATTTACGGAACCGATATAAAGATGATGTAGAATAAATAATCACGTAACGCTTACGAAAACACTAGGCGATTATAATAAAAAACTCCTGCGTAAATTTTGTGCGCATTTGGATTTTTTAGTTTTCCGAAAATTTCAAAAGTCGAACCCCCCCCCCTGGCTGCGCCACTGAATATAGGATTTACATATTTATCCCAAGGAAGAGGAAAGCCGATGAGACGGCTTAATCATATGGCTAACCATGGCGTCTGGTTCGTTTATCGGTCCATGTCGGGCAATGGATTAGTCTTTTGCAAGCATTGACTGGATTGGGGAGGAAGCCATAACCGACCAGCGGTAACGTGAACCACCCTACATTGGGCCAATCCTCCTGCACATAACCATCCAGTCATAGATTTTTAACCTGCGACTGCGCAGGGTAATCAGAGATGAGGTGGAGAGCGTATTCCTAACGCTTGGCATGAAGTGCCATCTGTGGACAAGGCCTGTTTAGGAGGAATATTTGAATGGGATTAGATTCTCTCATCCCGCCACATCCATTCATCTGTATCTACATTTGACAACGATTTCTTCAATGCAATATTATTTATTGAAATTTTCCAGAACACGCCTGTATCAGGAGATTATTTTTCTGCTGTGGCACTTGGTGACTACATTTATGTTCTCGAGAGAGATCAATCTGTTTATCGACTTAAATACTCAGATCTTGAAGCTACTTGGGAGAGAATGAATGATATGATGCATGACCATGGGGAGTGTCCTCCTATTACTGTTTTGTCTGGTAAGAATTGCTTCAAAAATTTTTTGCTAAACATTATCTTGGACTAGTAATTGAGGTTTTTAAATAGCTTGTTGCTGTCTGTTTGGAGTGAAGTTACCTCAAGAATTCTTAGTACTGGTCTGTTTAAGAATTTATTGAAACACATATTTTAATAGCATTTGGTATCCTATTCCAGTTCAGCCTTGTATTGTAACTATATCACTTCATTGTGGGTGACCCAAAAATCTTCTGAGAGCTTTGTGCACAAAATACTGATAATTTTATTCTGATTTGTTAAACTTGTCACTTAATCAAAGTGTACAAATACAAATTATATTTTCATATTAACACCATTGAAGAATTATAACACAATCTATCTGTGTAAGAAATCGTTGTTGTTTCATAAAATCATATATTTGAGTTCAGGCAAAATAAGGGTAAATGCCAAGACAAATAATGCCAAAATAATTAGGATTGAGTTACCTTGCTAAAACATGCAGATCCGAAAGGACCTGAGTTTATTATACAATGCACTAACACTCCTGTATTAAGATCAGTAGTTTATTTGTGTTTGTATATATCCCATGAAAAGTTTTTCTTATTTTTGGTTAATGTTTTGTCTTCCATTGCTATTGTGTTATCTATTATTATGACATGATTTATATTTGTATAAATACCACGAGTACCGTTTGCTTTGCATTAAAACAACTAGTTCTTTACTTTATCTTTTATTATTTTTCAAGTATCAGTTGCTTTCTACCATAAGTCTGAGGTATGAATTGTTTACAGGAAACATCTACGTTGTTGGTCATTTCAATGGTCACTCGAAATCAGTTGAAAAGTTCGATCCATTAAGCAACAAATGGGAAAAAGTGAAAGACAAAAGTCTCAGCAGTTGTTATTCAACAGCACTGGGTGCTAGAGGTTAGAAGGTGTTGTTTAATAAATGTCATTTACGTTGAACTGGTTCAAAACAGGCAGGCCGGCATACAATAGGGCTGTGGGTCACAGATATTTAATCGATGTTTGTATCTATAAGAAACTTGCTGCTGCATCTTATCTTGCAAATCTTATAAGCTTCAGTTGGTGTTGTGTAAGTTTTGGGCTTTATTCACGAAGCACTTCTATCAGGGACTTCTAGACTCTTTTTGGCATTCGATTTTATGAAATTCGTGTACAAAACATCCATATGCATTACCCAAAAACGTTTAGGACGATGCAGCAAATTATCAAAGAGTTTAGTGCGATACCACTCGGATAGAATTATATTTTTCAGTCGACTTCCAAATACACTGACCCCCTTCCACCCTGTCCTGTTGTTATTTCAGACTTCTTTACTTAAGATTTAAAAGATTGTTCTCTCAACAGCATTGTAGGCGAGAAACTAATAAATTCAAAGTAGCATATAGTTTTTGTACGCTCAAAACAGTCCGCAGTGCCTTTTGGTTCATGCACTTAAGAAAGGGAACGCTGTAACAGGATATTGCGAGAAAAAACAAATCAATTATATTGTTTTTTCAGAAACGATGTCTCAGCCATAGGTTCATAACGGTATACAGGGGTGAACGCGTACATCCAAGTATGGGATTTTTGATATTTACAATACTGATCCGAAAATTATAATTTTGAATTTGAGAGTTTGCAGGCCTGGTTGGCTTTACATTATGATAGTTTACTTAATGTTAAATTTAATTAGAGCCGGTTTTAATAATTTTTATCAATTATATATATATATGCATTTTTTTTATTTCATTCATGCGTCGACGAGTCATCGAAAAAATGCGGCGAAAGTGACCCGCGGGTCAGTGGTTCGCCATCCCTGCAATCCCTTCCAAATTGGAATTGCCGTTGGGCCATATAACCAACTTCAGAAATCTAGCTGGACCAATAAATGCTCTGCTTTACAGTAATAAAGGCATCGGACAAAACGGCGAAGTATTTAACACATTAAAAAGAGAGCGTAAAAACATGTAATTTTACCCATGTGGGCAATTATTTAAACATTAACTGTCGGATTAACTCTTTATGCTTGATGGGGAAAAATCTAAGTGTTGACAAGGGCCACACTAGATAGCTTTGCGGGCCCTAAATAGCTTTGCCTGTTGCAAACCGCTGGTCTAAACCAAACAAGAAAAAATACCGTTTTAACAGACTGGTAGGTTGTTTCGTATCAGTGGTTGCTTTTACAAAGTGTTTTTTTTTAAACAAACTTGCGATACACTTTGGTAACTAAAAAATGACTGCCAACAGATATCGGATTTATCAGTTTGTCCTAAGTTTTCATCGAATACCAGAATGCAGAAAACACTTGAAAGTAATAATCCTCGTTTAATTCCAGGTTGTATATACAGCATTGGTGGATTAGTATCAGATCGTTACACCAACCAAGTAGAAAGATTTGACCCAACATCATCAACTTGGTCATTGGTTGCATCCATGAATGAAGCAAAGTGCGTAGTCGCAGCTGTTGAAAATGAAGGAAAAATATATGTTCTAGGTAGGTTGGTGTTTGTTGCTAAAAATGTACAAGGACTCAAGAAAAAATATATTTAGAGGTGCCCATAATAATATTTAGTTTTACATAAAATAGCAATTAACCAGAATATTTCAATGACCGTGCTTCAAGATATCAAATGCAATGCCAACATGTAAGCATCGTCATGAACTAATATTCCATTAATGTTCTTCTGCAAGATTGCAGAATTTAATTGACAAATCATGTTCAAATGTTTGTATACCTATATATTTACACGAATGCAAAGGTCAATCCAATTGCCGTGTAAACTGTAAACTCATAAATACATTTGGTAATGTTTCGCCCTTCTTACTAGAGACGGCTGTAACGACGTATATGTAGTTGAAATTTGGAGATATATTCAGACATACTGAACAAGTTCCAAAATCTTCAGTTCAGGCTAGTAAAATTTTCCGCATTATATTCATCACCTTGCAGTTGTTACCTGCCATCATGTTAGTTCACTATTCCATTTTTATTCATTATTGTTTTGTCTTGTGTAGGTGAGATTGTCAAAAGATGGATAAACATTGTTTTGTATCATTTTGGCAAAATTGCAAGCAGACATTAACAAACTGTTTATTTCATTCAGGTGGACGGGAAAACGGTTACTTGACAACTGTTGAACGATATGATATTTCAACAAACGTGTGGTCCACGGTAACTCCCATGTTAACGAAGCGGAGCTGGTTTAGTGCTTTTGTGATTGATTCAAATATTTACGCAGTTGGAGGAAGGAACAGGTAGAGTTATTGGAATTTATTACAACATGGTAGGCACTAGGGCAGGGGTTCCCAAGCTTTTCTCAGGACGACCCCAAAGACAACTTTCAAGTGTCCAGTGCGACCCCAGGTCAATATATAATTTTTATGTAACTTTAGAGATTCTGTCACTGGACTTTTGAGTTTGGTCATGTGGTGGTATTAAGTAAAATAAGCTAAAACATTTAAACTTTCGATTTTAATTAAAAATACCGAAATTACAAAAAAAAAAGTTTTAAAATTGAAAATTTCTTTTGGGAATGGTCACTGTTTAATTTTAATCAATTTTCTGTATCTGGGGATGTATGATGTCAGGCAGCATACCAAAGAATTTTCCAAGGTAATGTTTGTTATGCGACTCCGATAATCACTTTTAATAACCCACCGACACCATGACCTGTTTGCGACTCTACCTACTTATCACTCCGATCCAATTTGGGGTCGCGACCCCGGGTTTGGGCACCCTGCACTAGGGTCTTCTGTTTTGGAGATTTTGTTCTGAAATACTTATTCCCAAAGAAATATTTGTTCCCCTGTATTCATCACTATAAGTGTTGGGCCAATCTAGTGTCTATATTGTCGATGCTCACAGAAATAAACTGAAATCTTTATATTTTTGTGAATATATTCATAACTTTGGATAGATAATCGCTTTTGGTTTGAGCTCTTTGTGCGGATAGAAGAAGCAGTATAATCATATTTGACTATGAAGTTTGAATCAGAGTCTGCCACCTGCGGTAACCGGTCATTTTTACTTTTTTCGTATCTTGAGTTACTGTAGAATTTAAAAATCTATTTTCAATGAGTAGCCTAACAACCACTTTACAAACCATTTGTCTTGTAGAACTGAAATAATCTTCTCTATATTTTTCAGTTCACCAGGAAGCATGGAGAAGTTTGATTTCAAGAAGAATCAATGGGAGATGATTGACATGAAGAACATGAATCTGTTTATACTCGATGCAGTGAAGATTAATTTGAAGTGATTTGATTGTATATAACAGAGAACAGTTCCTTGTGTTACCATTCAAGAACATACTATTAGTTTATGTTTGTATTCTTACTATTATGGAATTGTATGATAGATATTTGACATTTAATAGGTGCTCGTGTTACCACTGAGTAAATTTTTTAAACTTCTATAATGATTTCTTGCATTACTTACCGTAAATAATTTATATAGTTTTCTTAAATGTAATTACTCAATGACATTGCCTAGAAAACTTCAACTCACTGGACATAGTATTGTTACTACTGAATGTGAAGAAATTTTTTTAAATGATTTGTTTGTATAAAATAGCAGTTTGTTTTGTAGCATTTTTTTATGTGAATTCCGAGTTATGACCAGTGTGTAGTCGGACAGAATCGATGCCCATATAAAAAAACGATTGTTGGTTGATGGACATTTTCACTCCTGCTCTTCAGTAACAGGAAAACAGAGTTTATAAATCTTACATTGACCTCGACTCCTCAGCCCTGATTTAGCTTGCTTATCATTTAAAGTTAATTTTTAGCAAATTGGAGTGGGATTCTATATCCTTGTTATGTAAAATTTGTCACCAAATATCATAGGTCATTGGAAGCGAGTGTTTTATATAGCCAGTGGCCAGTAAAAATCAAATTGATTGATAAATCTCATTCAGTTTTTAATGCCATTCGATATTATCTGGGTATAAAATATTGCCTCGTGCATTCTTCAGACGGTTTCTTCATCAATTGAATTTACTTATCATTTTGTAATTAAAAACAGTGAATGACATGCACTTAATAAATTAGCAGATGCCTTTTACTGCATAATATAATATAGTTTTCCTTCAAACAAACCTTTGCTAGTGCTACCTGCAAAATACTTATATACTAAGTTGCATTCACGCCGTATGTATGTTGTGGTTTAAAATAATTTCGTCTTTGCTGTATATTTTATCGCATATATGCAATTAATACTTTACTACCATGCATCTGAACGCTGAATTCCAATTCTTCATTTTTTACCTGATTTGAAATCTGCCGGTTGCGGTATTTTTTATCCCATATTTTGAAATTTTCTGTTCGATTCACCGCATTCCAAATGTTCAAAGCTTACTTTGTGAGAGAACTTTGTTAAATAAACTAACAAATTTAATTTGTCCATTTCTTTTTGGAAGATTGCTTTGGTTTTCAGCGAAAATTTGTTTCTTTGGTATCAAGTAGGAAAAAGACGATTGCACTTTAAAAATACTTGTTATTACGACCAAATTAAAAACATATTCACGAAGAAGCGGAATTCCGAATAAAAAAATTTTCACAAAACTATTCAAGTTTCCGAGATTAAAATAAGTTTCTAATATTTTTCAATTTCAATTCTATTTCTCCCATTTCATGAAGTTTGTACATGTGGTAGACGGATTTCATACCTCGATTCCTACCCCGATGATTGCTTTATCTTTAAAAAGGCCCGCAAAATTGAAATGACATTTTAGCTTCCCACTGTTTCATTCTCGAGGCCGTTTCGAAACTTCACTGAAAAACTCACCAAATAACTTGAAACTAGCAAATGTTTATAACCATGCTTGAAAATCTGCCCCAATGTGTTTTATTGATTCTAGCAAATGAATTCAATAAACTCAGGAAGTCAATCTGGAAAACAAGCTGCCACAATAACATTCAATTACATACATAATATACCGTATATGCTCGTTTTACCGCCCGATTGATTAAGGGCCCGTTTGAATAGCCGCCCGTGTGAACAGAACATAAAAATAAATAAGGGCCGGTGCTTGAATACTTGCCCGATGTAAAAGCTGATTTTTCAGTGGTAGAGAACAATAGGAAATAAGAAGCGCTTTTGTCACAACGCTGTTGGATTTTAAGCGCTGGTAGATAACACTCTCGCCTTGAGCGTCCAATTACACAACAGATAGCATTAATTACGTAACACCGTGCTTCTTAAACTGGGTGTCGCAAAACTTTTCTTCTTTTGCGGATTTGTACCTGCGGTGCGTAGAAAAATTTAGAGAATTGCTCTTAAGACGTGAATAATTTTCGTTTGACGTGAATAAATTGACATGGGAAAGGGATTGAAGTCGTCAAATATTTGTCTTCAAAGATACCGTAATTTTTATGTATAATTTTGCTTCAAAAATAACAAGCGCCCGTGCTTGAATAAGGGCCCGGTTAGTGAGTTTGGTTAAAAAATATTGGCCCGGGCTACAAAACGAGCAAATACGTAGCTGGAATATCGCATATTAACTGAAATAAAATGTTCGAACATCCCAAATCAAATATCGTGGGAGAGCTCATTATGAAAATCGTCCATAAATATAGTATGTTATTGTGACAAAAAGTAAAACATATTTATAAAAATGCGGAATTCTAGATCAAAAATTTTACTATTTACTTTTCTGAATTAAAATAACTTTCTAATATTTTTCAATTTTAAATTCTATTTCTCCCATTTCATGACATGTGGGTTTACTAATGATTGCTTGATCTTTGCTAAACTCACAAAATCAAAATAATATGTTAACTTAGTCTTTTTTATTCTCGGGATCGTTTTTGGAATCTACCAAATAAACTCCAATTAGCGAAACTAGTAAGTATTTACAACTGTGATTGAAAGTTCCAATGTGAAATGTGACTGGTCAAGTTCTACTATTACATCGCAGAAGTCATATTGCTTATTGGTTCTAGCTAATGAAGTCAATAAAAAGGAAGTCGATCTAGAAAACAAGCTGCCGCAATAGCGTTTTCAATTACATACATAATATAGCAGGGATACGGCCTGTAATAAAATTTTCGATTATTCCCTAATCAAATATCGTGGTTACTTATGAATAATGTCAATGAAATAAATATAATATATGCGATATATACAAGTAATTGCTGTTACTTTGAAAAACCATGCGACTCCTATTTACATGGTGAAAGAAGTTCACATACCTCCGTCTTTTGGTTTGTTTACGTCAGAATTTTAAAACTATTTCGATTACGTCCGCTTCTTATTGGACCATATCTGAGTAAAGTACTGGCCATCATTGAAATCATATACAATTATGGTGGAGCGTTGTGCGCCAGTGAACAGCCATGAGATACCGTGCAACTAAAGCTTATGAAAAACTTGTGGCATGAATTTTTTTTTCATTTGGCTACGCTAAAATACTTCATGATGCGAAGACGTAACAGTGATGATTACAAATCAAGTGTGAACTCAAGCGGCAAATATCATTGAATCATTGATATAAATTATGAGTCAAAATTTCATTCAAGTGGTTGTTTGGTTGACACAAGTACCCGCATACCCGCCAAAAATGCGCAAACAAAGGTCACCGTCAACCCTATTTGCATAAAAATTAGTCAAAAATGACTTATGCAGGTCTCAACAAGGAAGTATAAACAAAGATGATTAGTTCCACCGAGAACATATTAGGTGTTTGCACCATTTTATCTCACTACCGGAAGTTTGTCAGAGAGAGGGAGAGAGTTTATTTCCACAAACGTAACTGCTGGTCCGCTACGGCTTCCTCCGCGAGTCCAGTCATTTAGAGCAAATAGATGGCTATCTAATTTCATAACAGAGGCGGTCTGGTAATCGTAAGATCACTCAAACTATTGAGCCGTTTAAACGGCTTTCGTCTTCCACGGATAAAAATATTTGTTATGAGCCAAAAACCTCGACTAACCCATGATCGTTGACGCACCATAACACATACAACTGGTATGAAGCAAACAATATATTTTTGGGGAAAATAAATAAATTGCAATAAATATACAACTGGCAAAAACCGTATGTAAATTTGTTAAACCAATAGTTAGAAATTATTTCCATACGCACGAGCAATTATTTTCCCGTGTAGGATGAATTTTGAATGCATGAAAAAGTTCTGCTATTTTGTTATTATAGATAGGGATAGATAGGATTTACGGTACATATTTATCCCGGGGGAGAGGAAAACCGATAAGACGGATTATCCATATGGCGAACCACGGCCTCTCGTCCGGTTACCATTCCAAGTCGGGTATGGGATTAGTTATATTGTTTGTTTTCGGAAGCATGGACTTGGTGGTGGAGGAAGCCGTAACCGACCAGGGGTTACGTGAACCACCCAACGACGGCGAGGAGACCACTGTCATGCCAGCCAAATACCAGCCAAATATCAAACTTATATTCCCGAATTTCATATTAAAGTGTTTTCTGGTCTAACAAAATGTACTTTCTGACTTTCTACGAAAACTAATACTTTGGGACATCACGCTATCGGAGGATTTATATTCAGATGTTGATTTGGGAATATTACTGCAACTTATAATGATATGATATGGAAATATTCAATATTTGAAAAAAAATTTTCAATTATGTGAAAATTGAATTTTTTCATTCAAAATAGAATTATTTCGAATCTTTCCGGTCTCGGAGGAAAAGATTTGAATATACCATTGGGTAGAAGACTAATATAGGAACATATTCCAACAAAAAAATTGTGGTGACATCCGACGAGTTTTCGAACTTTTTGAGGTTCGAAAATGTTCAAGTATGAAAAAATTTACCTTTTTCACAGAATATCGAATTATTTCGAATCTTTCCGGTTTCGGGGGATGTGATTTGAATATACCATTGGATGCTTCGTGCTAAAACTAGACTCTATAGTCGCCCCCCGTCGGTTTCTTTAACTGTCGTCTTGAAATCTTCATTATTGCGTCACAATATAGTCTGGTGAAGTATGTCGTGGTTTCGCATTGGAGTGAATGTATTCCAATGCATCGCATTATCTTCTTTTTTATTCCAGTGTTGGCCAACAACCAGATGTCAAAGGTGAGTAGCAATTGAAATTTCAGCAGTACCTATATTTTCCAGAATGGTTCTAAATATTAGCTCGTTTTGGGGGTTTAGCAAGCTCGAAAAAAGCCTTTATAAATTCAGCTGATCGCAGTTTACAAATACACTCGTCAGAGTGATGTTATGATCTTGAATACCTCACTAGATATTGACTATATGATAAATTGTAATTGCATTCTCATTTCAGTGAATCATCGATGAAACAAATCATAGGTATACTTCTGTGGATAAGATATATTGGAATTTTGAAGTTTTCATGAGAGAAATGAAAGGTATATATATTTGAGAATTTTAGGTTAATATTTTGAGAATTTTATTAGGTCTTGTGGCCAGCATTGATGATAGAGCAACTAATAAGTAAAAAATGGATTGTCGGTGTATAATCCATTTTTGTTTAACGTACAAAAAAGACATAC